CCATTAAGGTCAGCCCATGCTTGTGTGCAGTATCTTCTTGTTTTGTCACTCATTTCTTCATGTATGTAGCCTGCTTATCAGTTGTAATTATTATGCATATTAAACACTTAATAAAAAAGAAAAACTTGGGATTTCAGAAACATTTTCTATCTGAATGTAGAGATGTTTCTAGCACTTATAAAAAATTTCTAGAGCTGTTTTTTAAACGGATTGCTGAAAAGCATGAACTATACATAACCCCTTCTCTAACACAACTTAATACAGCACAATAAAAGACAATTAATAAGACTGCTGTAGGTCCACACATGCAAATTATTTTTTAATTAGAAGAGTCACTACACAGCTAGCCAAAGTTCAGCAGCATAGGACAGCTTCTTCATAACTCTATCTTTTCCCTTTGAGTTTTAAAAATGTAAAAATGAATGTTGTTACTTCTCAAGATTGGTTTTAATCTCTCTTCTAAGTGCAAAGCAGAAGCACTATTTGTAATGGGTCAATCTCAGTTCAGCCAAGGGGGTGGGGGGGGAAGGTGATTTGGCTAAATGTTTTCTAGAGCACCAGGCCAACACCAAGCTATTGAACTGAAAGGGCAAACTCATTTGTAAAACCTTTGAGAAGTTTACCAGATAAGCAAACACCATAAAAGTTAATGCTGGCATTTCCACTGCTTCTCACAGCTTCAGTCTCCTGTACCACGGGGCAACTTCTATAGAAATTCAAGCACTGGGCAGTTCCACCCTCAAAGTGACTCCATGACCCTTCTACACTGCAGCCATAAAACTATTTCCTAACTGCAGATTCCTCCTGCAAGCCAAAACTATGATTAAATACATTTAAATAAACCCCATAAAATTTACAACGTGGCTTTAAAATATATGGCCATGCTATAAAAAGATGGACTAGAAATTAAAATTGTTAAATCATGCAGAAAGACATGCCCAAAAGAGAAGCTAGAAAACTTTCTCAGATACTGATTTAAATCTTTATTTATAAAGATTATTTCCACTGTCAATTTACTATATTCATTCTACACTGATCTACATCTTATCAGTTTTGTTCCTCTACTCCCTCATAGGCCAATTTCCCATTGATGTTCATGCCTTTTACTAACAGGTTAATTGAACATGGGAAAAACAAGGGAAATTCAAATACTGGAGAATAACCCATATGCAGGGGTGGTGCTCTCAGAAGGCTTTCTTCAAGGAAGGTTCACAAGAGACGAAAATATCTGACAACATTTTATACACATACCTATCCCAATCTTAGTGTTTCTGTACTCTCTGGATTCAATTTTACTCCCCAATGTGTGTCCCACGTTTCAGCTATCATTTGGCTCCAAACAGTGACCTAAAAGCGGGGGCACATATAGCACACTTCTTGTAGAAGTCAAAACTATTCCTGCACCTTCTGAATCGGCCCTACAGAATCCAAGTTGCTCTAAAGAGATTTTATAAATTTTTCCTTCAGTGAGTCAGAAGACTCTAGTGAAGATTAACTTGAAAAAGCAATACTGACTAAAGTCTTAGAAAAAGACAGTATAGTTATAAAGCATTGAAAATTGTTCTTGTCTTTGTAAGTACCACTTTGAGCAATTTCAGATGGATGCAGAAAGAGTTGGGATCCCTCAATGGAATATAATCCTGAATACCACTAGAGAAACTCTAATTAAAATCTGAATTATGAAAAAGGTGAGGGAGTTGCTTTACAACTGGAAACCACAGACAATTGTATGTGTTATTCCTTTGTGCACAAAGTTTAAAAGTATGCAAAATATTGGCTTCTATATTGACAATATTCAAACTTCAACATAAACAAACTGTTATTCCTGCTATTTTTAATTTGTTGAGAGTAGCTGACTCCACACAAGTACTTGGAAAGACTAAACTAGGTCTGCTCCTCTGTACAATTCCAGGATGCAAGACATTAAACCACAAGTAACACAAACAAAATTTTGACAACAAAGAAGATTCTAACAATAAAGATCCTAACTCAATTAAGAGAGAAGACAACATTCATTTTCTAAGCCAAATAAATGAGCGTACTATTCTCAGATGCCAAATTTTAGTGCCATGTAAGTATGCAATTAAAAAAAATTGTATCAAGTCATTAACACAGTACTTTTTCCATTGCTAAAATTGGAATGCTGTCAAGACAGCTAATAGCAATCAACATATTCTGCATCTCAAGGTTAATGAAACAGTTCTATTCTTATAGCAAACATGACCACACTGAATTGCTGCCAAAACATTCCTGGGACCAGTGCTCAGAAGCAGAGGCCAAATTCTTCAACACCATCCAGTAGGAGATGAAGGACAAAGGATTATCAACTGAAAAACAAATCTATGTGAACACAAACATTGCCTATCACAATTCACATTTGCTGTGTGCCTAACACCTGTTATTTTCAGCCAATACTATCCCTACAGAAATCCATTTAGTGCTTGTGTTGCTCTCATGTAAGGAAAAAATATTTTAAAGAATATGCCAACATAATCTTAAAACCAACTGTAATAATCATAAACAACCCTGCACCAGACTTTCAATCATTAAAAAATGGTATAAGAAGAAATTTTTAAAAAACCAAACAAAAATAACCCCACCCCCATCTCCTGGATTGTTTTTCTTCTGGGATGAGGGAAAGGCTTCAGGGGAAGAGGGGAAGCTGGAGCACACCTCTTGGAGAATGATGAATCACATGGGGTTCATGAAGGCAGCCACAACATTCCCTCATCCTGTTTTATCTACAGTTACACCAAACCAGGCTCACTTATTCTCCTTGTCAGTCATTTGTAACAGCTTAAGTTCTCCAAAGTGGCAACACTACCTGTTAAATACATGTACATATGCTTTATGTACATGTATACCTGCATACTGTTGAATACCACAGCTTGATAGCTGAGATTTATTTAAGTCCTACTCGTTTGGAGGCTGTCTATATCACCCTTAGTACAATGTAAAAACAGCAAATGCCTAATTGAAGTCTCCCTTTGTCTGAAACTATGAGTGGAGTGTTACCTACATTAAAGACACTATGTTTTATTAATTCCTATTTTTTAATGTAAATGCACAATCAAAACATTACTATCTGTATGCATCTTTTCTTGCAGATTTTCTTTTTTCAGAAAACAATTATATATATATATGTAGTTATGTTATGATCTCAAAGGAATCAAGAACTATCATGAATTGCCTATTTGTTTGTTATAGTATAAAATACAATAAATGCTCTTGAGGCATTCTGCTAATACCTCATTCTGCTAAGTTCTTGCTAATATTTCATTATAAAGGTTGTAATCAGCTTTTTTAAAACTCAAGCTTGTTTTGTATAGAGTATACTTGAAGGGAACTTGAATAACATTTAACTGAAATCACTAACTCTTTCAGTTGATGCATGGCTGATCACCCTAAAAAGTCATTTCAGTTCCTTGACCTACATCCCAGCCAGTGCTCAGCATTTTAAGATATAATTCTGTATTAGAATTAACCAAACTGATCTATATGACTCAGTCACCAGAATATCACCAGCAATGTCTTCTTTTTTGTAGCTATATCTGTGAAAATGCTCTATTTGTGTCTTCTTGGAAAACTAATCAATAAATCACAATTATCATTCCTGAAATACAGCACTTCTACCACACAATATTAATTCCAGAAGCCCAGTATTAGAGGCAAACCACCATCAGGGAAGTCTGTGGTTTTCCAACGCCCTTCAAATTACATTTTCAGATACTCGTAACAGAAATTCGATAAACATATACAGCTCTAATAATTACACTGCCACTAGAGCGGAAAAAATTTAGGTATTGGAAAACATTTTTTTTCAATTTCACTTCAGTGTCAGAAGTGTAATTAAAAAGAAGTTCTGCCTATTTTTACTAAGAGCTACATGAAAGAACACAAGTATGCAAAAACAAACCTAAAATTGACTATTGCTCTCTAATGGTGCCTTAAGTTATTTATTAGTATATCAAATATCTGCATCAGACTATCATAATCAGTCAACAGTAACTGTGAAACATAACTAAGAAATAGGTGCCTATGCAACAGCTGAAGAGTGCATTAAAGATAAAAATACGAGCACGCCACTCCACATACATTTCTCCACTAGTATGGGCGCCGGAGAAAATGACACTTACTGACAGATATTGGTACTCCAATAATCGGCTAAAATTGGAATTAATCAGCTGATAAAAAAGTAACCATGTAATTAAGGAGTTGCTAGCAGCCAAAATTTCCTTGCCTTCATACACAAGCAAGGCAAAGCTAAGATGTCACCGAGGGCTGTCTCGTGTTCGCGGTGACATGACCTCCACGGACCGGCTCGGTGAGGGGCACCCCGGGCCGCTGAAGGTCACCCCGGCACCGCCTGCGGGCACCGCCGCCCCCGCTTACACTGAATACACGGAGCTCAATACAGCGCTGCGTTACATTAAAGCATCACCACCGCCAAAAGAGTCCTGTCAGCTGCCAGCCCGGACAAGCGCCGGAATTCCTTCTCCGCCCGGGACCGCGGGGCCAGCCCCGGACACCGCCTCACGCTCGGTCCCCGCGCTCCGACCCCAGCCAGCCGCAGGAAAACCGCCGCACGCCCTACGCGGCCCGCTGTACCTTCCCGCCCGGGGGGTGCCGCGGCCCGGCGGGGAAAGGCCCCAGGGGCGAGAGGAGGGAGGGATAACCCTCAGGGCTGTGAGGCACGGAGCGCGCCGCCCGCCCGTGAGGCGGCAGAGCAGCGCCGGCCCGGCCCGAGTGCTCGCTTACCCGGCCCACGCTGCGCTCCCTCCGGCGCCGCTCCTTCCCGCCGCAGCCCCGCATGCAACACAACGGCGACTGAGGAAGCGCCCCGATGGCTTCCGCTCGGCTCCGGCCCAGAACTACAGCCCCCGGCGGGCCGCTGCCAGTGACGAGCCCCACAATGCGCCGGGCCGCGTGGTGCGGGCGGCCGCCGCCGCTGAGCCCGGCGGGGCCGGCAGCGGGGCGGGGTTCTGGCGGGAGGCGCGGCGGCGGGCAGGAACGGGAGCTGCCGCCCTGTAAGGCTGCTCGGCTGCGCCGAGGCTCCGCGCTGGCCGCGCCCCCTGCCCCGCTGAGCAGCCGGACGAGCCGGGGAGAGGGAGCGGCGCCCACCGAGCTCGGGAGGCGGCTGCGGGGAGCGGAGCTCTGTCCCGGCCGCCGCGGGAGGCCGGAGGGAGACGGGGCCCAGCGAGGAAGGCGAGGTACGAACTTAACGGAGCGAGTGAGGAACTGAGGGGGAGCCTGCGGGGCGTCCTTCCGCACTTTGCGGTGCATTGTCGCGGACGGATCATTTCGCTCGAGACACACGAGCGAGAGCTGCCCCAGTCACTGCGAACGCTGAAGTGGGAGCTGCAGCTCAGCGAGAGCAGAGCCCGGTAACGCGCGCTCCCGGTACCGGGGCTTCGGCTCCGGAGCCTTCACACTCCCCTCGCTCACAGACACACGTTTCTGTGGGTTTTCCTGCCCTGCAGTGTTCGCTGGCTGAAGCTTTGGCCGAAGTGCGATGAATGTATCATTTTACCTGTACAACACTGTCACGATCTACAGTACAAAAAAAAAAAAAGCCTGCGACCCAGAAGGAAAAATGTGGGGACATGAGCCAAAGCCATACTGAAAAATGGAAACTGTGTCAAGCTACATAAGAAAAAAAATCTTAAAATTGTAGTGTTCTTTGAATAAATGTGCATCACGGATGTTTCTGTTGGCTGGCTATACATCTTTGAAGAAAGTCTACAATAATTTGGCTTTGGTATATCATAGTTATTAAGAGTTTATTCTTCAGCTTAGCTTTTCTGGTTTCATATTGCAAGCAGCAGAATAAATTGTCTTGTGTAGCAGAATGAGGCACCTTCTTTCCAAGTAGGAGAAGGATGCTGTAGCCATTACAGTGCTAGGCAGTATCCTGAAGCACCTGCAATCTTTTTTTTTCCTTCTCTGCTACAAACTTCCTTAATGAAGTTGTGAAAATGTTTAAGTCAAGCACAGATCCTCTGAAGGTGTCTAGTACCTGGTAGGGATTGACTTTTGTATCCATTTGGTATCTCTAATAAAGAATTACAGCAGATCTTCAGGGTAAAAATTTTACTGGAATGGCTTGGAGATTTGGCAGCGAATGGAGTGGTGGGGCTTGTTAGCTTTTGAAGAGTGTTCCCTTGATTAAGTAGCATATATAATTTAAACGCAGGATATACTCAAGCTTAGCTCCTTAATAAACAAAATTATCAGTTTCTCTTATAGTACTTCAGCTTTTATAAGTTAACTTTCATACAAAAATTGCATATTAACATGGAACGATTACCTATATCTGACTTTTTGTCAGCCACCAAGAAGGATTCCTCATGGTGGCTGGAAAGCTACCTATCAGAAAAGGACCTGGGGTTGCTGTTTGACAGCTGGCTGAACATGAGCCAGCAGTGTGCCCAGGTGGCCAAGGCCAGGGGCATCCTGGCTTGTATCAGCAGCAGTGTGGCCAGCAGGACCTGGGATGTAATTGTCCCTCTGTACTCACTGGTGAGGCCAGTTTGCATCTCAAGTTCTGCATTCAGTTTTGAGCCCCCTGCAAGAAGAAAGACACTGAGGCACTGGAGCATGTTCAGAGAGGGGCAGCAGAGCTGGTGAAATGTCTGGAGCACAAGTATTACAAGGAGTGGCTGAAGGAGTTTAGCCTGGAGAAGAGGAGGCTCAGGGGGACCTTCTTACTCTGCATTTACCTGAAAGGAGATTATAATCAGGTGGGAGTTTGCCTCTGCTCTCATGTAACAAAAGAAAGGATGACAGTAACTGGCCTCAAGTTGCACCAAGGGAGGTTTAGATTGGATGTTAGGGAAGTTTTCTTCACTGAAAGTTTGTCAAGCATTGGAACAGGCTGCCCAGAGAAGTGGAGTCACTGTCCCTGGTAGTGATCAAAAATCATGTAGATGTGGTGCTTAGGGACATGGATTAATGACAGGCTGGACAGTGTTAGGTTGATGGTTGGACTCTGTGATCTGTGAGGTCTTTTCCAACTTTAAAGATTTTACTGTTGAAGACTTGCTTATAGCTAAGGTAAAATAGTCCCATTCTGTACTTACAGAAGCTTTGATATGCTTTTTAGACATCTCTCCCACTGCCTAAGCCTCCAAAGTATCAGTCATAAAGTAAGTTTGCTAGAGGACTTTCAGAGACTACTCTGATCTGTGAGGGAATTGCTTCTCTGGTTTTTTTAACTGAAATCCCTTACAATACTATTTCCTCCCTCACTTGTGAAATGTAAAGTGCAATTGCTTCTGCCTTGCTTTTTTTTGTGAGCTAGTTCAGCTGCACACAGCCAAGCCAAGATCTGCCTAGCACAGCTGTGCTCCTTTAAAACAACAGACAATGATTTCTTTTCCTACAAACTGCCAAAGATTCATAAGTCTGTTCTTTTTTACTTTCTGCACTTGTGCAGTTAAATTGTTTGTTCAGAACTGGCAATAAAATTTCTACACCCATAAATTAAAAAGGAACACTTAAGTTGACATGTAGTCCTCAGTGTGGAGTTTGAAATTGATATGGTACTTAAATAGAAGCAGACTTTTGCTGAGCCAGAGTTCTGGGGTTTTGTGTGTGATAGCTGACAGGAATGCCTCACAGTTCTGGTTAAGGAGATTTAAGTTTATCACAGGTTTATGTATCATCTTACTTTGCTACTTTATTTTTTTTCTAGGATAAATGGGTGTGTATGACTTTTCCCCTGATCTAAAGCGGTTCCATGTCTTGTTTGGTAAGTTCATCTTTAAAAATTTTGGCTGTTGTCCCTTGTTACCCAGCTATACCTTAATATGAAAAGCCCTGGTGAAACGTCTTGCTTGTGGGGATTTCCACAGTGCTGACATATTTGAACTTCATTGTGTCAGCTTTTGGTGAAGGAGGCTTTAGTGTCTCTTCTCTCTAGGTCTGCCTTGTGTGCACTTTATGCTGTTTCTTAACCCCTTGATTGGTTGACTGGTAGCAGAAGACTTTCTGACCTGTTGCTTATAAGGCCTACTTTTTTATATTTTCGCACTGCCATATTTAAAAAATTGCAGCAACTCCTACAATATTCACTTGCTTCTGTTCTTAAGGACTGCTCCTGTATTCTGCGTACACCAGTTGAATCAATCAGACCAGAAGAGCTATCTCAGAGCAGCATCCATGAATGCCTGGTAAGAATAGAAACTTTAACTCCCACGGTTAAATATAAAGCTGGTGCATATTAAAAAGAGCCTAATTAGGGAGTACTTCTTGAAATGTTGGCAATAAAAATAAACAGAGTACTACTGAGGTTTGCACTTTGGTAGAAGACTATAGGTATCTAAGTGTTAATCTTGTGCCAGTTCGAAAACAAACACATAGACACAAAACTTGTCTTAATAATGGTAAAAGTACTAGCTTGAACATTCTTATTTGAGTACTGGACTTCAGCATTAATAATATTTTTGCAATAATTTTAAAAATATAAATGATTTTAAATTACATAGTGATTTTGAGAACTGTTTCTTCTCTCTGCTAGGCTGATTCTGATCTAGCCTGGATCCCCCCAACTACAGGAAAGAATGAAATGGTATTTTGCTCTTCTGATGTCTCTCATTATGAACTCCAGCTGGAAATAGGTAACATAAATGGACCTTAAAATATTTCTTCTTCCTGCTATCAATATCCAGTAAATATTATGTTTGGAAAATGAAGGACTATTCCTGTGTCTCCTTAGTTGAGAAAAGTGCAGAGCATTGCTCATATTTTAGTAATCTCTTATTTCAAGATCTAAGACAAATCAACAATTACCTGAAATTGTCTCTTGATGTTTGTCCATGTACTTGTCAGTTTTCAAATCTGTGGAATGTGACAATACAGCCTTAAGTAACATCATGTCTTGTAACTTGGCTACCCAAGTTGGTTGTTTTAAGGATGGCTGCCTTAGATCCTCCTATGCATGCATATGTTTATGTGAATATGCATACTAAGTGTTCATTTAGATGTATAATGATGCTGACGTATGTTCAAACACTTTTAGTTGTTCTCAAAATAGCAGAGCCGTGCTTCAACTAATTTGCTGCATATATTAGGCTACAATTATTTAAAGTCTTGGCATTCTGAAACAAAAGGACACACTGCTATCAATTGTAATTCTAAAACTGGAAAATGATCTCTAAATATGAAGGAAGCCATGTGATGGCTTATTATGCTTTCCAATGTTAAGGCAGCCATTTCTGGTTTCAGGAAGGAGGTTCAACAATTTAACTTCAGTCTACCTTGCACGGCATACACCTACAGACAGGCAAGTTGCTGTAAGGATCACAGACCTTGAAAATTGCTCTGAAGAGCACTTGAAAGCCTTACAGGTAAAGGAACAGCATTTCTGCACAAAGCCCGATGAAGATAGTGAGGAATACATATGAGATTACTGAACAAAGGTAGCCTTTGCTTGAACTGGGATATTTCAGTCAAAGTTTTCCCTCCAAAGGAGTAGAATATAATAAACAGAATGCATGTGTAAATTTGAGAGTTGCTTTCTGAAGACCACAGCTGACAATTGCTTTAGAAAGTGCTTCTGTAATTGTACAACTTACTTGAGTAACATCTTCTGTACTCTTACTTAACACCAGAAGTTTGGACTATGAACAAACTAGATTTACTTCAGACAAATGCAATTATGGGCAAGCTATTTACATTTCTGTTGCAGGCTATGCACATCACCTGCAATCTTGTATAAATGCAAATAAACATTTCTCTTTACTGATTACTGAATGTAGTTAATGCTATTGGTAGGACTGCTGTTCTGTGGTTAACACATCCACTTTCATTTAATTCCATAGAATGAGGTGGTTTTATCACACTTTTTCCAGCATCCCAACATAATGACATTTTGGACAGTGTTTACAGCTGGAAGCTGGCTTTGGGTCATCTCCCCATTCATGGCCTATGGTAAGAACTGTTAACTGCAATTTTGGAATAGGAGAAAGGGCTGATACAAGTTGGACCATGTGGTCCATGAGAGGTTTCTCTTTAATCATCTCCTGTCTTGTAGGAAAAAAACAGACTCTCACAAACCATTTAGAGAAGATTTCCTCCTCATTGAAAACTGGTATTTGAACTGCATTAAATTCCACTTAGTCCTTCGAAAACAAACACATAGACACAAAACTTGTCTTAATAATGGTAAAAGTACTAGCTTGAACATTCTTATTTGAGTACTGGACTTCAGCATTAATAATATTTTTGCAATAATTTTAAAAATATAAATGATTTTAAATTACATAGTGATTTTGAGAACTGTTTCTTCTCTCTGCTAGGCTGATTCTGATCTAGCCTGGATCCCCCCAACTACAGGAAAGAATGAAATGGTATTTTGCTCTTCTGATGTCTCTCATTATGAACTCCAGCTGGAAATAGGTAACATAAATGGACCTTAAAATATTTCTTCTTCCTGCTATCAATATCCAGTAAATATTATGTTTGGAAAATGAAGGACTATTCCTGTGTCTCCTTAGTTGAGAAAAGTGCAGAGCATTGCTCATATTTTAGTAATCTCTTATTTCAAGATCTAAGACAAATCAACAATTACCTGAAATTGTCTCTTGATGTTTGTCCATGTACTTGTCAGTTTTCAAATCTGCGGAATGTGACAATAAATACAGCCTTAAGTAACATCATGTCTTGTAACTTGGCTACCCAAGTTGGTTGTTTTAAGGATGGCTGCCTTAGATCCTCCTATGCATGCATATGTTTATGTGAATATGCATACTAAGTGTTCATTTAGATGTATAATGATGCTGACGTATGTTCAAACACTTTTAGTTGTTCTCAAAATAGCAGAGCCATGCTTCAACTAATTTGCTGCATATATTTGGCTACAATTATTTAAGGTCTTGGCATTCTGAAACAAAAGGACACACTGCTATCAATTGTAATTCTAAAACTGGAAAATGATCTCTAAATATGAAGGAAGCCATGTGATGGCTTATTATGCTTTCCAATGTTAAGGCAGCCATTTCTGGTTTCAGGAAGGAGGTTCAACAATTTAACTTCAGTCTACCTTGCACGGCATACACCTACAGACAGGCAAGTTGCTGTAAGGATCACAGACCTTGAAAATTGCTCTGAAGAGCACTTGAAAGCCTTACAGGTAAAGGAACAGCATTTCTGCACAAAGCCCGATGAAGATAGTGAGGAATACATATGAGATTACTGAACAAAGGTAGCCTTTGCTTGAACTGGGATATTTCAGTCAAAGTTTTCCCTCCAAAGGAGTAGAATATAATAAACAGAATGCATGTGTAAATTTGAGAGTTGCTTTCTGAAGACCACAGCTGACAATTGCTTTAGAAAGTGCTTCTGTAATTGTACAGCTTACTTGAGTAACATTTTCTGTACTCTTACTTAACACCAGAAGTTTGGACTATGAACAAACTAGATTTACTTCAGACAAATGCAATTATGGGCAAGCTATTTACATTTCTGTTGCAGGCTATGCACATCACCTGCAATCTTGTATAAATGCAAATAAACATTTCTCTTTACTGATTACTGAATGTAGTTAATGCTATTGGTAGGACTGCTGTTCTGTGGTTAACACATCCACTTTCATTTAATTCCATAGAATGAGGTGGTTTTATCACACTTTTTCCAGCATCCCAACATAATGACATTTTGGACAGTGTTTACAGCTGGAAGCTGGCTTTGGGTCATCTCCCCATTCATGGCCTATGGTAAGAACTGTTAACTGCAATTTTGGAATAGGAGAAAGGGCTGATACAAGTTGGACCATGTGGTCCATGAGAGGTTTCTCTTTAATCATCTCCTGTCTTGTAGGAAAAAAACAGACTCTCACAAACCATTTAGAGAAGATTTCCTCCTCATTGAAAACTGGTATTTGAACTGCATTAAATTCCACTTAGTCCTAGCACCCACCATGTGAGGAATGGTAACTGGGAGATGCATTTGACTTTATACAGCTTCTGCTAACAGAAGCCCTATTTACATTGAATTCAGGTTGGGCACAGACTTGCAGTTAACAGAAGCAGGACATGGGGCATCAGTTACATCTATGTAATAATGCACCAGAGTCAGTTTAGAATGCTGCTCTTCATGAGTGTAGGAAACTTAGACAAGTCATTTAATAAGACTTGTTAGGCCTAGCTAGGTTTTTTTTTCACTTCCAGGTTCAGCTAGACATCTGCTGAAGACTTACTTTCCTGAAGGAATGAGTGAAGCTTTGATAGGGAACATTCTGTTTGGTGCAATCAGAGGATTAAATTACATGCACCAGAATGGATATATTCACAGGTAAGAGAATGTGAATAGATAAGAACTAGAACCAGCATCTTACCTTAAGTACTGTTTCCTTCCTTTTCCTCTATACCTTCTTATATCAGACAGTGCACAAGTACTGTGCATCTCTCCATTATTTTTTTCAATAGTACAGCAGGATTAATTTTAACAAGAAATGTATTGATACATGTCTTCAAGCCACTTGTTACAGGGATTATACATCTGCCTGCTTTGTCTCTTTGAAGCAGAAGAAAACCAGAGCTATAGAAAGGGCTTTCTTTGTTTACACCCCTTGCAGGGAAGAAGGGCCCTTCTCCAATTTCTGGCACTTTTTTCCTGATCATTTCCCTTAATAGAGAGATGAACTCCATGCTAGCATCTCACTATAAGTCAATGAAATATGAAAGCTATTCTGCTTTAGTAGTACTTAGAGTAATTCTTATAACTAAAATTTACCACTTTATGTTACAGGAATATTAAAGCTAGCCACATTCTGATTTCAGAGGATGGGCTGGTTTCTCTCTCTGGCCTAAACAACCTCTACAGTTTAGTTAGCAATGGACAGAAGTCAAAGGTGGTGTATGATTTCCCCCCATTTAGTACATCTGTGCTTCCTTGGCTGAGTCCTGAACTACTGAGACAGGTTAGTATAAATTACACATAAATTTTCCAATTCAAAGTTAGTGGCAGTTCTCAATTTCCAGTGTAAGTCTGCTTGTAGAATTGCAGTGAAATATGTTGAACTGCAACTTTTAAAAATACATGTACATACTGAATTTTTAATTATTTTAGAGAGAACCAGTTCTAAAGCTGTTGGTGAGGTGATGCTGTACTAAATCTCTTTACCCAGACCTCCTAGAAACTACTGCAAATCCTGAAACTTGTGTTCAGTACAGCCATCAGATTTCTGAAGAAACTCTGAGGTTTCACAATTCAATTGCTTCAATACTGTGCAGGTTATGGGGTATTAGAATCTTGTGTTGAAGCAGGCACTTGTATTTTTGTTGGCACCACTCAGTGGCCTCAGTGATCAAATAGTGGCTTCTTTCTCTGACAGGATCTGTCTGGCTATAACATGAAGTCTGACATCTACAGTGTGGGAATTACAGCATGTGAATTAGCCAATGGACATGTTCCATTTCAAGATATGCCTCGCACTCAGGTATAATGCTAAACTTTATCTCTAGTTAAAAACATGCTGAGCATTTTTTTGTTTTGTTTTACTCACAGGAACCAGTGCTATTACTGCTGAAGTAGTGGCTGCTTTTGGTTATTTCAAATATGCACACCTCTTTCTAGAATAAATAACCCTTCCATCCCTGGAGTTTCATAGGTTACCCTGAGGTCTGTTGAACTCTCCTACTGCTATTCCTCCCTACTAGATGCTGCTGCAAAAGCTGAAAGGTCCCACCTACTGTCCTTGGGATATAAATACCTTTCCCCGGGGGGAATCCAGGATGAAGAATTCCCGATCAGGTGTTGATTCTGGGATTGGTGAGAGCATGACACGCACAATGACCAGTGAAAGACTTCAAATGCCCTTTTCCAAAACATTTTCACCTGCTTTCCACAACTTGGTAGAACTTTGCTTGCAACAGGACCCTGAGAAAAGGTAATGTTCTGGTGAAAACTAATTTTTTTGTCACTTCCATCTAAGGCCAAGTATAGTCCACAGTTTAGAATACAGTAATCAGTTGAATGCTGTTAGAGTCAGAATATTGGAGCAGATGTACAATGTAAAACCATACACTTACATTTGTATTTTAAGAATTGTCTTGTCTGATAAAGGAATCAAACTTTTAAAGTCATTTGACCCTGAATTTCTTGTAATATAACTGTTATTTGTAACAAGTAAAATTAACTTTCAAATGTGTGCATTGTCCAAGAAAAAACCCCCAGAAATCTGAAATATGTTTTCAGTTCTATGTCTCTTTTGAATAAGGCATTAAATTCCTTATGAAGCAGAAACATGAAAAGGCCTTTAAAAATAGATTTCTTCAGTAGTGTTTTCACGACAAATTGAGGTATAGAATGTAAGAATTTTGTGCTGCTTTTCTCATTCTTCACATTTGTCCTGTGGAGAAAAACCACAGGGCTTCAATTTATTTGTTAATCTGGCCCATTATCCAAATGCAGTATTTTACTTTCCAAAACATAATTCTATTGTTCATTTTATGATTCAGGCCATCAGCAAGCAGTTTGCTTTCGCATACGTTCTTCAAACAGGTGAGTTTACTATATTTCATTAAATGACACAGCTATAACCTAAATAAGCCACAAAAAGAGCTAGATTACAAAGTAATGAAGTTACCTGGAGCCAAAAAGCATCCTGTAAGAGCATACCTGCTTCCACATTTTTTTTAAACAAAATGGTATCAATAGAGTATAGGAAGCATAAGATTGATCAATTTCCCCATTGATTAAGTTGATTTAACTTAACTAAAGGCAGCCTAATTTTAATAAATTATTAATATTCTTAATTTAAAGCAGAACTGCACAGCTGATTTCATTAGTCTTGAAAGACTAATAGAGTGGAGAAAGCAAAACCTCTCATCCTTTTACTTTCAGTACTGTAACATGCAAGAACATGGCTCTGATTTCACATGCTTTTAATGAAGTCAGTTGCAAAGTTATGGAGACTTTTATGTGCAGCTTTATTTTAACTTTTTTTCTTTCTAGATAAAGGAACAAACACAGAATTCACTACTGTCCCTATTACCACCTCCTATTCAAAATAACAGATCAGAGTTCTTGGCACTGCCCTCAACAGCAGCTGGGACTGAACTTGGACGTATTGCTACAAATCAAGATGATACAGACTGGGAATTCTAAAGAAATACCAATGATACCTCTCCAGTGTTTCAGAGAAAGAAAATGTGATTTGTATTTGCTGCTTTTGTATGATTAAAATACAGTTAGACCAAGTATACTTGAAATGCCATGAAATGGCTCTAATTCATTACCCTCCTCTTGGCATCACAAAATGCAGCGTGCCTCACTCTCTGACTGCAAGGAAAACCGTGTATAAAGAATGGCTGAGTGCTCACCTCTCTCTCCCAAAGTCTTCCTTAACAAGAGAGTCTCTGCTGTGATCTTACTCTGTACTGTATTACCAGCTCACAGTGCTGCACTCCACATGCCTTTCTGAATACAGGCCTGGGGTTTGGCTGTGATCTTACCTAAACATCTACTTGTCTTTTCATTATGACCCAAATCATTTTAGTAAGGAGAAATCCTCCACTTCCAAGTTGAAATGTGAAACTGCACAGATTACTTGCTTATGTAAATAAATGTTTCTCTCTCAAAAGACATTTTTCTTACTTTACATGCTGTCATATTTGCCAAAGTTAGATATGCATCATTTTTCATGCAGTTTTAATACTGTGTGTTTCCCAAAGAAGTTAAGCTGCTTGGAAGTGGGACTCCTGCTCTTGCATCTGTTCACATTCTTAGTAGAAGCCTGGGCTTTTTCACCTCTGTTTATTGTTGTGTCATTTTAGCAGTGAATCTGAGGATGTCTCACTATGCAAAGTAAGTCTCAAGTTCTAGCAGGTACGGGTTAGTTTTGAAGAGTCATATTAAATAATCTAAAGTTACTGTACATGTTTTTATTTATGCTCTATTCCTGTTCACCACCAGGATTTACCAGAACCTATACTGTTTTCTTAGAAGAAAAAGGCAACATGCATTAAGTTTCCCTGGCAGTGCTGGTGACAAACAAGCTCCTTCTGCAAGGCACAGTTAAATTCCCCTGGATCAATTCAGCCATAGTAGGATCCTAGTGAATTTACCTGTTCTAAGTCAGATGAAAAGCTGTCTTCTCCCTACAATTCAATAAATTCTCACATCTCATACTGTACCAGGCAACTCAAACTGAGCAAAAGCAGCTTTTTTCTTTTAAAAACCTGGATATTCTCATAATGTTGTAGCAAAAGTTGTGTCCCAAAGGCACTAATACTTTGCTGATGGAAGCATTATGGTGGTAAAAAACTATAAATAGATATTGGATGGATATATTTTAAATTTTCAACATAATTACCTGGAGCCAAAAAGCATCCTGTAAGAGCATACCTGCTTCCACATTTTTTTTAAACAAAATGGTATCAATAGAGTATAGGAAGCATAAGATTGATCAATTTCCCCATTGATTAAGTTGATTTAACTTAACTAAAGGCAGCCTAATTTTAATAAATTATTAATATTCTTAATTTAAAGCAGAACTGCACAGCTGATTTCATTAGTCTTGAAAGACTAATAGAGTGGAGAAAGCAAAACCTCTCATCCTTTTACTTTCAGTACTGTAACATGCAAGAACGTGGCTCTGATTTCACATGCTTTTAATGAAGTCAGTTGCAAAGTTATGGAGACACTTATGTGCAGCTTTATTTTAACTTTTTTTCTTTCTAGATAAAGGAACAAACACAGAATTCACTACTGTCCCTATTACCACCTCCTATTCAAAATAACAGATCAGAGTTCTTGGCACTGCCCTCAACAGCAGCTGGGACTGAACTTGGACGTATTGCTACAAATCAAGATGATACAGACTGGGAATTCTAAAGAAATACCAATGATACCTCTCCAGTGTTTCAGAGAAAGAAAATGTGATTTGTATTTGCTGCTTTTGTATGATTAAAATACAGTTAGACCAAGTATACTTGAAATGCCATGAAATGGCTCTAATTCATTACCCTCCTCTTGGCATCACAAAATGCAGCGTGCCTCACTCTCTGACTGCAAGGAAAACCGTGTATAAAGAATGGCTGAGTGCTCACCTCTCTCTCCCAAAGTCTTCCTTAACAAGAGAGTCTCTGCTGTGATCTTACTCTGTACTGTATTACCAGCTCACAGTGGTAATACAGTACAGAGTATGTACTGTACTCCACATGCCTTTCTGAATACAGGCCTGGGGTTTGGCTGTGATCTTACCTAAACATCTACTTGTCTTTTCATTATGACCCAAATCATTTTAGTAAGGAGAAATCCTCCACTTCCAAGTTGAAATGTGAAACTGCACAGATTACTTGCTTATGTAAATAAATGTTTCTCTCTCAAAAGACATTTTTCTTACTTTACATGCTGTCATATTTGCCAAAGTTAGATATGCATCATTTTTCATGCAGTTTTAATACTGTGTGTTTCCCAAAGAAGTTAAGCTGCTTGGAAGTGGGACTCCTGCTCTTGCATCTGTTCACATTCTTAGTACAAGCCTGGGCTTTTTCACCTCTGTTTATTGTTGTGTCATTTTAGCAGTGAATCTGAGGATGTCTCACTATGCAAAGTAAGTCTCAAGTTCTAGCAGGTACGGGTTAGTTTTGAAGAGTCATATTAAATAATCTAAAGTTACTGTACATGTTTTTATTTATGCTCTATTCCTGTTCACCACCAGGATTTACCAGAACCTATACTGTTTTCTTAGAAGAAAAAGGCAACATGCATTAAGTTTCCCTGGCAGTGCTGGTGACAAACAAGCTCCTTCTGCAAGGCACAGTTAAATTCCCCTGGATCAATTCAGCCATAGTAGGATCCTAGTGAATTTACCTATTCTAAGTCAGATGAAAAGCTGTCTTCTCCCTACAATTCAATAAATTCTCACATCTCACACTGTACCAGGCAACTCAAACTGAACAAAAACAGCTTTTTTCTTTTAAAAACCTGGATATTCTCATAATGTTGTAGCAAAAGTTGTGTCCCAAAGGCACTAATACTTTGCTGATGGAAGCATTATGGTGGTAAAAAAGTATAAATAGATATTGGATGGATATATTTTAAATTTTCAACATAACAACATTCCACATGAGTCTTGAAGCCTTCCATAGCTGAGCAGACCTGTACCCAGCCTTGAGAATACTGCTGCATTGCCAGGGCTTTGCTACAAGGCCTTGAAGACCAAATGATTCACATACAAGAGAAACATAAAACTCTAAATGACCACATAAAAGTATCAGCAAAAAACTTGATTCTACTCATTATGCTGTGAAGAGAGCTCTATATTCCTAAACTTAACATGTGAAACGTGAAATTAAAGACCTATCAATAAACTTACCCTATCTGCCTCCATTTATATCTGTAATTCTTAGACTTCTGTTTTCACCATGGTCCAGCCACACTAACAACTTCTTGTTACTACAGGGAAAAAAAAAAATCTATTTCAATCAAAGTAAGGAAATAGTTGTTGAAACCAGAAAATTATTCTGATTTTAAAATATTAATAACTTAAGTGTGTACTCTTGGAGAAGATAGTATTTCCTGTGAACCCCATATTCTTCATTCTTAACCATTACAGATTTGGACTGTTTGCAAGTTGAATACATTAGATAGCATCTATAAGTAACTTTTGACTAACAGTACATATAAAAAGCAAGTAAAATAAGTCAGAACATGCAGCAGTTACTTTGCTGCCCTCTCTGTGGAAAAAAAAAAAAATCAAAAACATTTCTAAACACTGTTCCAGTTTCTGTACTGACATTAAGAAAAATCAAATTTTTTCAAGTTAAAAGGCCACAAGTCTTTGCTCTTAGAACTACTGCTTCTCAATAACTGTGTCTCTTCAAACAAAAGCAATTAAGAGGCACTGTGACTTCTTAAAATAACCAGAAATACTCCATAGATTATATTTACTGAAAGGTTTGATATCATTTTGCTCATTAACAGTGATGCTTTCTATTAAGGAATAATGCAAATTAAATATTACCTAGGAAAGAAGATGTATAATCATATTTTTAAGGTTTCAACTACCTGCCAGTGAAACAATTGTTCTGAAAATCTGAAGTTTTTGCATACAGTTAAGTTTTCAAAATCTGAGGTTGATGATCTGCATTGTTAAGATTCAAGGTGCAGAGACTTTATATTCCAAGCTGACAGTTTTAAGCACAATAATTTTTTGGTGGGTTGTGTTTTTTTTCAGAACACTTGTTTACTCTTGCTCATACCAATATATTGCATAACACACAATGATGTGTGTTATCAGCATGTGAATTAGAATTAAACTTGGACTTGAAATTTCAAAGTCTCTTGCATTTAGGCCCCACGTGATATATTTTCAAGGGGACTTATAAAACCTATACATTTTCAAAATCTTATGGCAATGAAACAGAAATCTATCTAATCTGGTTACTTTTGAAATATTTGTGAAAACAACATAAGTGTTTTTTTTTGCAGCCACCTTTCATTATGCTAGCATTTAGCACTGTATAATAATAAATACCTGTATAAAAGAAAACTTCTGTTAATTAGCATTATCCTGAATATATGCTCAGTGCTGCTGAGTGTCTCACTGTCTTGACCTGATACCACAGCAGTTTGTGCATGACTGAATGGATGAACACAGAAGAAAATGTGATCTACTCAGAATCAACTTCCTCTGATACATGAATTCCTCACTTTAAAGAGTCTCAATGCAACAAATACCTATTGAAAAGAGAACAGTTTCTACCATTTGATGAAAACAAATAAATACTTTTCTTTAAATTACAAGGTTTCACCATACCTCTCTCTTTTCCCTACCCCTCTCCTCTTCAAGTGCTACCAAAGTTGTTTTTAACCCAGAGGATGGGTAAAAATATGGGAAAGCACTGAAAACCACTGTTCTGAACCTCTCTTGACAAGAGGCAGGTACCAAAGTAGCTGATTCACATACCTACTTCACGTGCCTTTAATGCTATTAAGCAGCTTTGCTGAAGTATATTAGCTTCTCTAATAAACCCCTGAAACAACTGAGGCAGCAGTAATGACCTGTCCTAATGACAGCCATCCCTATCCTGCAGGAATGAGGAAAAACTATTAAAATTCACAAACAGTACACATTGCAGCAAAGACCTGAAAGGACTGTAAAACCATACTATGAAATGAAACAATCGGATGTAACACACAAGCAAAGAATTGAGTTTATAAAAGAAGAAACCACTGAAAATTGAGGTGGTCTACTAATAACCTGGCAGCAGAATAACATTTGACATTTAGCATAATTAAATCCATCCAGGAACTTGAGATAGGATGAAGGAAAGAACATTAGGTTTAAACAGGTGCCTGTGGAAACCTCAAAAATGCCCAGATTAAAAAAAAATGGTTCTACTCTATAAATTAGTTACATATATGTTTGTTTCTTACCTGAAACTCCCAGAAACATCTGGAAAATGCCCCAAAAGCCCATGGGAATTTAGCTGCAATCAAGTGGTGGTTTTATTTTTCAATATTATTATAGAATACACCATTATTACTGAATTTACCTACACACTCAGATTAATGGAATTCAGTTGTCTGTCCTCCCATGAAATCCATCTGCAATGAAGAATGGATTGCTGGAAGGTTGAAGAGGTTTTCCTCTGTTTTGTCAAAATTTACATGACATATGGGTTAAGAGTATCAATGCTGAGTTTATCTACTACATTTTATTTTCAAAGTTTGCTTATTCTACATTCAATATCAATTATCTTTCTAATTCTCACATTTCATGCAGTCAAAAGGCAGATTTCCTTCTGCCCATGTGAAATCTGGCAAGTCAATTATAGATTAGTTTTCTTTAAATGCTTTCTTGGTTTGAGGTGGCTGTTGTTCTACAGTAGCTGATGAAACAATCACACACTTGTGGAATTATATATTTGGTTGTCATGGTCTTTTTCCTGCTCCACTTTCTGCTTCAAATTTTCCTTATCATGGGAGAACACATGATTTTGAATCCTTGGAGCCTGCAGCACATGATGTTGAAAAAGGTGGTTCAGCATACTTTCCATGATTTTTCTTCACTACATTACTAGAGTTCCTCAAACTAGTTTTGAGGACAAAGTAGTTTGGTTTTCCTTCCAAAATAGCATATTTATTAGTATTTGACCCAGATGCTGGTGGCATGGCAATGCACATTTCTCTACATTGCTTCTCTTTTGACTTCCAGTCAGGATTTTTGGGCAACTTTTCTTTTTCCTTATGTTGAACTTGTAAAATGACCCATTTTGGGCAGTTTGGTGAGCCATGGCCTACAAAGGCGTTCGGCCTGAATATCAGCGTCACAAGCATTGAAAATGGAAGAATGTTACTGTTTCAGACTTTGTTTTTACTCTTTTACTGTGAGACTTTTAAACTATTTCAAATTTACAGTTATTTCTATTTTTTTTTCCCAAAAGCGGTTGTTGGGTGGTTTGGGATTTTGTGGGGGTTTGTTTTGAGTTTTATTTGTTTGTTGGGGAGAGAAGTGGAACAGACGGTCATCATCACCCCATCCCCCCTCCTCCAGAATACATTAATCTGTTTATTTTCACTGTGGGGATTAACTATTACATCTGGCAGTGGATATGGATGTTTTTCCACGAGAAGATCTTGCTTTTTGTCTCTGTATCACTGTTAGAAGCCTGCCTGTGTCCATCTGAATAGCCGTGCCCTCAAGGCTACTTTACTGAATATAGTACAGGCAAACTGTACAGGCATTTTCAGCTAGGGAGGGCTCTACAACTTTTAGAGTCTGAATAAAAGGTTACATAAATTTCAAATACAGAATTATTAAAGCGAACAGCTTGCTTCGTGTGTAGGAGCACGGGGGATTTTTTTCTTTTTTGACTGGTTTTTCCACTTACCATCGCATTGCCTCACATCGCCGACCGACGGCAGCGCGGCCGCCCCCCTCAGGCCGAGTCCGACATGGCGGCCCCGCCGCCGCCCCCTGGCGGCCGTTACTGCCGCCCGCGCAGCGCCGGGGCAGGGCGGGAAAACGGCTGAGGGGGAGCGGGGCAGGGCTGAGGGACACTGAAGTGACAAGCTGCTCGGGAAATAAACGCACCAGGGACGGGAGGGCGACACACGGCAGGAAAAACCACCCCCTAAAGCATGTGCCCCCAGAAGCAGCAACCGGCGGGTTTGTGGCTGGGAGGCCTCCTTGCCCGCCGTGAAGGGAGGGAGCAGCCCCGGGGCACAGTACAAAAATAACACCCAGGCAAAACAGTCTTTCTGCAACTACCTGGGGACTTAGACAGCAGTTTCAGGCACAGCCGCCCTGAGCAATGCAGTAACACACCTTCCACACCGCTGTGAGGAAAAAACGAATAGACAGTAAGGCTTAGGCTTAGCTGTAGGTATTTACCTGATGGTTTTCTCTGGTCTCCCAAAGTCTTTAGTCATTAAATTAATTCTGCTGGAAATATGCAAGCGAGTAATTCTGACCTAATCATAACCCTCCTAAAGTTTACCTCTGCAATACCAAAACTACTTTAAAAAGGCACACTGCAACTTAATGTCCCCTTGGCTTCTATGTTGAGAAAACTGCCTTGAGAGAGTAATGTTTAAACCAAGTTGAAATTAACCATATATTAAAGTACTGTAACAATTTAAGTAATTAAAACAATTTAGCTTTGGCAGCCAGCCCCTGATCAGGCTGCGTGAGGCTTTGTCCACCCAAGCCTGGAGCAGCCCCAGACATCCCCTCAGCCTCCCACTCCAAATCCTCAGACAGACTTACTTATTTTAAACTGACTAAACAACTGGAAACAAGACAAAGTAGTACCATAATTTCTAACTAGTTTACAGCAATTGTTTAATATAGGTTTCATATATGTAAAAACAAGAACTTGGCACCAAGATATCCAAAAACTTTTTTTCATTAACACAAATGCATTAAAAAACAAAGATATGGAAATGCACAAAGGCATTTCAGTTAAGGCTTCTACAAATATTGCATGTTCTAGAATTAAACATCTATTATGTAAACTTGTTCTAAGACTTTACAAGAAACTAAAAAAAAGCTCACTTAAACTCATATTCCATTGTGAGGCTTAATGGAATGAAAAGTATTTTGTGAAATAGATAATTAGCCATCAAACTATTTATTATGTTTTTTATATGGCAACCTCAAAACTCATTAATTTAAATATGGATATACTCAGACCCTCCTAAAAATATACACAAAGGCAAGCCTGGCTTGAAATACTGATTACATTAAGTTCATTAATTCAATCTCTGCTCAACCATATAAAAAGTACTATATTTCACAATAAGAATGAATCTGGCTCTTGGCTGGCATCGCTTTGTCTAAGGGATAGTTGGAAGGCCAATTCCTAGTGTTAATGTCAGAAATCAAGCGATGTTATCCAAGTTTTTCCTGTACTGATGTGATGCCTTAGCACACTTCTGCGGAGCTCCGTATTTTATGGGCAAAATTACACTTCTGACCATACCAAGATGAAAGAAAAATCATGCAGCCATGCCATTAATAATCTCATCTTCAGGAGGTGACACAACATGAGCAGAAAGTGTGGTGGCAAACTACATGGGAACACTTCCTGTCTCATCCCTCATCTCCTACAGCCAAATAAATCATGGCAAGAACATCTGGTGCACAACTGCAGGAGATCAACACCCTGAATCTCGCCATTTTAATGTACAATGCAGTGCCAGCTGTAATTTAGCTCTAGTTTTACAAAAATACAGACGCAAGAGCCACAACACTTCACAAAAAAGGCTAAGGCCTCCTTCCCACAGCAAACTGAATGCCTCAAAATGCAGCCAACAGCTGTGGAACATCTTTCAATTCTTGTAGATGTCTTCCTCCTCCCTGCCAAGATTACCACAGCATTTAAAAGATGTCATGAACACTGAGTTTTTGAATAACTTAAAATTTGCTGAATGGACACAAGAGAACACAAGTCCTTGACAGGGCAGCATCAGCCATCCCTAGTTATTCACATTCCCATGCCTGTTTTGAAGCAACTCAGGTAACAGCACTAAGTTAGCACAGAAAGCACTGAAAGCTCATTTCCTTTCAAGTCTTATCTGGCTGCTCTTAACTTCACTACTAAAAAAGTTCAGTAATTCTTCAGTGAACTTTGACAAGTGCACCCCTTCTACAACCACCCACAGACACACATACTAAATCAAACAAGGCAAAATCAATATATGTTAAGTAACACATACAAACAAGTTTTGGGCTTTAGGTGGTATTTGCTTGAAAAATGGCTTTCAAACCAGACCTTATCTGTGTTTACTAAAGAGATTGTTTCTTCCTGCATTATATCTGTATTTATTCACATCTGCAATGCTTTCATTTTGCCACTTTATATTAAAGGAAAAGGAATGTTGGATCTTGTCAGCAAAACCCATTACCTGCCACAATCACTGCTATGGCACTGCATAGAAGGTGGGTTGCTGCAGACTTCTTGGGTTGATTTAATAAGCATTTTCTTGTAATTTTAGGAAGAATTTTCCCATTCTTTGGCAGAAAACAATCTCCATGAAAATAGGTAGGAACATTTTTAACATCTATGAAATCGAAGTTTGTTTAGAAAGTAGTGAATAAAATGATTGCTCCTGCCATACCAGATAAGGAGAAATCAGAACACTATTCTTGTGAGTGGCTTTGGAATAGTTACACTTCTTGACTGTTGAGAAATTACAAGACATGGATACATCCTGTTTGCAACACAAAAACACCCTGTTTGACGAGAAGATATATTTAACCAAACCAACTGCTGCAACATTAAAACGTCTTTGTCTTTTATCTACGTCAGCCGCTAAGAACTTGTCATCATCAAGATTTTTGTCAAGAGAACTAAATGAAGATTTAAAAAGTGGATTTTAATAATCCTCTTTTATGGATTATTAAACAAAATCCTGTCAATTTAATCTTTTATTCTAGAAAAATATTTTATCACAAATAAATGTAGATTATTTTAAGATTACTAACTTGGTGGGGTTTATGTTTCCTAACTCTGTTTCATTACAGATTTTCCTTAGGCTACTTTTGTTTTAAGATTTTTTTTTTAATCTCTAGAAAATGTTTAACCAAATCAGATAAGCTAACTGCTGTTTGCATTAGTAACAAAAGCAGGTTGTTGAAGACTCTGCAGCAGTCAAAAAAGCACTGAACACCTGATCCTCTGCATCACTCTAGTGTCTTTGGCTATGTAGGTAGCATTATTTACAAAATCACCTTGACTTTATGCACTAGGGATAATCTGCTTTGTAAAATAAAAAGCAGAAGTATAAAAGTTTTCAATCACATCTGGAAACTGTAACATACATAAAAAGATCATTATGAAATATATACAATATAAAAATACTTTTTTTTCGTTATGAAAATTATAATACATAGCTATAATACACAACATGCTGAGCCATCAGTCACAGCTACAATATATGCAGATTCTTGTTTCACACTTATGGCTGGACTCTGGGTATGACATCTCCATGAGGAAATTCCTCAATTTCAGAATGGAACATCAATTCTAAAAGAGAAAGGAAAGAATTATGTTTACTTTGTTTTACCTGAATACAATTCCACTGTTCCTGAAAAGTATCCTGGCATTCCCCCAAGCCTCCTGTTTTTCATCCCAATCACACCATCAACAACTCAGCGATGGCAAGGGCCACCATTATTTTTAGAAAACTATTGCTGCTCCCCAAAATTGACAGAATTGGTGACAATGGTGGCAGCTGACCATGTGCAGTACCATTGTGCATTCAACATGGACACTGAAACACAACTCTGAATTAGACTGAGGGATTGGTAAAGTTCTGAGAGTGCCAGACTCAGGAAAGAAGAATTCTGTTTAGAGACTCGTTCATTTTTAGAAGTCTTTGCTCTGTGTCTCACAGTGTTAAGTTAGCATACTCAATCCTTAGCAGACTAAACTTTCCCTACTATTTGGAATAAGTACTAATGAATTTCTCTCTAGAAATTTCCAAAGTAGTTTTCCAATCTTAATAGGCACATGGAAGTATCAAAAAAATTAATCAAAACCTGAGTAAAAATCTGCCACTGGATTCCTTGTGTAAGTTTTTATTATTTATGCATTTGAAATATGTTTAAGCATCTATTATCTATTCACCATTGAGGACTGAAAAGGCTGCCACTTAGTTGTTTGGGGATTTTTAACTCATTAAATGATTTCTTAGAAATAAACACAGTAACTGGAGCCAGCTGAAATACGGACACCTGTACACTAAAATTCAAAAATAATTTGAAGAGGGCTGTTGAATCCTCAGCCTCCCAAACACAAATCTGTGCTTCAAGTCATGGAGTTCTTAGGATACATTTTGACTTTTATGTTGAAACTTGGGATTTTTATGTACAGCATACCTTCAAGTGACAGGCTGCATGCACTTGACAGGAACACAGAGTTAGGACACACCTTTTGGATCCCAGATGGAACACAAAAGGAAGAAGGCCCAGTTTCTAGCCAAATTTCTCCAATGAGAAGAACTTGCTCCCCCCTCCTCCAGCCTGGACCAGCACAAGCAGTCCTCACTTGAAGTCCTGTGCTGCAAGCACAAATCTGACTTTTCAAAGCTAGGGAGTTCCCAAAACTACTGCAATGTCCTATTGAAAAGAATACTGAACTTGTAACCCATTTAGCACTTGCAGAAGGAACATTAATAACATTAGGGAATTTTCTAAGACACACATAGAATAAATGCATTTCCAATATTTAAAATAACATTGAAGTATTTTGAATTATTTTTCTCTTCATTGAAGAGATGTTCTGTAATGTTTCAAAATTCACATTGCTTCAGACAGGACAAATAAAGCTTGTATTTTTAAATTAATGTTTATAATACCAAACACAGACACTAGCATCCTAAGAAGCATTTGCTGTGCAAGGTTGCTAGGAGACACTTATTCTTCCTCAGTCACAAAATTTCTCAGGACTAGTCTTAAACACCAAATGCAGAGCACAGCAGATAAAAAACCCCAACAAGATGAATAAACAACATTTGCCTATTAATGTGCCCTACCTTCACTGTGGTCTAGCTCTGGTCGGGAACTTAAGAAGATCCAACTTGTCCCAACTAGAACAGACACTACAAGATTCACCACAACCCAGGAATGAACAATTTCTGCCTCTGTACCTGCAGTCCTGGGAAAGACACATCAAACCATCAGCCATCATTGGTGCACAGAAGGTACAGTAACAACTGCAGCAGAGTAACAACAAAACAAGTTGACTAAGCCAGATGTGAAAAGAGTTACTTGTACCATAATGATGGTCTTGCATTGCAAAGGCCTGGTAAAGAGAACAATTACCAAAGATCATAGAAACCCTAAACCTCCACCCCCTCCCCCCTTAAAACTAACTGCTCAAACCAGCAAATTTGCACATAACTGCTTTTGTTCTATTCCTCCTGGTTTACTTTAAAAATCTGTGCTACCAGAATTTGAGTCCATTAATAGGTACTTCAGAAAGTAACAGTTTTGTATGGGATCACCTTACATGAAACGATGGTTTATATTCAAATGCAGGTTCATCATAAAATCCTTCATCAATACTTTCTTACATATCTTGTACAATCTCTTCTATCTGCCAGTGTGACAAGGTCCCTAAGTGAGCTACGTTGTAATTTACAGTGATTCTTTGTTTCCTACCAGATACTGCCATTTTCCGAAGGTGGCGTGTAGAGGTGGATTCTGTCACATGTCATCTGCTGGCTTAAGGATAAGATAAGAGCAGCAAAGTACACTGGAACAAATGGAATTAGTAGTGTCAGATAGAAATCCCAAAATGCTGTCTCATCATGACATGGTACTAATCACTACATTTTTTTTCCTTTCACTCCACTGCCTCCAATCATAGTCTGTTTTAATTCACTCTTTTTTCTTTAACATTCCCCTGACCTATCAAAATCTGATTTCTGCACTTTTGCAATCCATGAGCTGCATCAAAGCTTGCATTTTGTGATTCTGTTTTTTTGTTAGGTTTGTGTTCTATATTCAGAAATGGAAAAGAACTACCTCACTAACAACCCATTAATGCTACTATTGCAAATGCTTTAAAAAATATGGAACTAAGTTTATGGCCATTGCTATTATCAACTACTGAGCAAGTTATTAATTCTAAAGCAGAAAATAACCTGGGAGGAAGATTTCAGTAAAAATGGTATAGAGGAGTTTTCCATTTACCATATATTCTGGACAGCCTCCTATCCACTTCAAAATACTTACAGAAAGAAGCTAGTGCTGCTGGGTCTAGGGTAAGAATGCCCCTCAGTGCAACTGATGCTTTTGCCAGATCAATCCTGATAACAAAATCAAGAGTCATTAACACAGCCCAGTAAGACAATGATATTGTTCCTCTAACAGTATTCTACTGTTCTTTTACTTATTCCAATGTATTTTTTCTGCCTGTGTAACAGTGCCTTAATCTACAACTACATCCCACACACATGGCAATGGTCCCCTTATGCCAACTCCAAAATGAATGAGGATGTTCCATGAGGTTTCCACTGCAGACCTTTCTGAAACAGGAAGAACCTGGGGACATCTGTTCCCTCTAATCCTTGCCATTGAGTTCAGTGTCCATCTAATGTAACTGCTTACACTGCTCACAGGAGCAAATGTAACTTGGACTCCTCCCTGCCATCCTTGGAGGGAAAGAAGTCACAATTTTTTTCATAGCACCAACTCCCCAATGGCTTATCCTACCTGTAACTAAAAGAAACATTTGTAACATCCATTAATCTAGTCTAGTTAATGATCTTTTTTGAGCTTCTTTCTTTTCATTCCCGCTCTTAATCTGTAATGCAGAAGCCCCAGCTAAACCAGGAAAATTCTTCACTCAGCTATGTTTCAAATCTGACTACGCAATGCATTCATACTAAAGTGAACCTGATAGAAACATTTGTTGCTCTCCCCCCTCTTCATAGTCCCACCACAAAAAAACAGGTCAGCTCTTATATTTGTTTCACCTTCTGACCCCACATACAGCAGCAGTACTTGAAGCAGGGTGCAAGCACCAGACAGATATGAGTACCAAAGGTCTGGATGCACAAGTACACCCTTCTGTGTTTAGTCAGCCATGTGAAAAATCATTCTTTGAGTATATCAATTAAATCATCAACAGCAAATCAACACGTGCCAAAGGAGAATGAAACATCATACACACAAATTATATATATACACCTTTCAAATACAAATATGTTTTACCTGTCAAAGGCTGAGACTGTACTGATAGACAGCAAAAAATAGAACAAACTTTGAGCTGGATATGCTATTGTCTTATACTGCTCAAGCAGGTTAGAAACCATGGAAAGCTCATTTCCTGCCAAAATGTAGATAACCACAATGTTCCATACAGCATAACCAGCAAGGAAGCCATGGCTGAAGAGGCCCAACACCCTGATTGGAGGAAAGAACATTAGACCAGTTTTAACATCTTCAATTAGCTATAGATAGAAAAGTTCATCTGTTCAACCCTGCTTTTCAAGGCCTTTCAGGGATCGTTTCTGAGTGCTTTTTCTGATCTAGTTTAAAAAATTCTAAGCAAGAGTTCTGTTTGTTCCTGTCACACCAGACTGCACCAGAACCTCAGCACTTAAAGAAAACAAAGATGTTTTGCCTTCCCTTCATAACAGCCACAGGCATCAAATACTTTCTCTTGTAGCTGCCTGTAGTTTCCCAAGACCACTGTCCCTTGCACTCACATAACATTCTAACTTGTCCCCAAGGCAATATCCTCATTGCTAAGGAAGAACTTCAGCAGGAAGCACAGGCTTCCAGCTAAAATACACCACAGAAGAACATGGCTGTTATCTTCCCATTGTCTACAATGTACTACAAAACAACTGCATATTAAAAAAGTAATGGTTTTGCTATTATGTGCAAGCTTATTTCCATAGTGCAATTTCACTTCTCCCTTTTTCCTACCAACCAGGACTTTTCTTTGAGAACTGTCTGAATTCAGGTACTTTTATTCTGGTGATACACATGATGGGTCAGTCTTATTTTCTAACACATTTCTCTAGGTGACTAATGTTTTGGTTACCAGCTCAATCTCTTGCTATTGAGATTTTGTTTAATCTTTTCAATATGGCTTTCTTAGTTATTCTGAAGCTGTATTTCACACATGATTCTACACTAGAAATTCATAATCTTGATAACAAATACCAAAAACTAGAGGACTGATAAACTTTATGCCTGTTGAATCCAGAACCACCATTTTTCAGGAATATCCAAAAGAAATAAAAATACACTACAACTATAGAGGAAAGACACTAATTTTCAGGGAGGAAAAAAACCCCAAAAACTCAAACCAAACCCCTGATTTATGTTTATTTACATCAGAACATTTATCTTTCACCTGAAACTTCGGTGCACTGAGAGGGCAACATCTCTAGTAGTCCATGAAGCCTTCACGTCCAAAAGGACATTGATATTTTCAGTGGTTTTAATCAATTCTGCACGGTCAGCTGCATGAAAACGCCCTGAAAGGATAAGGAGATCAGTTCTAGAGAGCTCTCTTCCCTTTCACCATCATTTCTACATTAATGCTTATTAGTGTTAAAAAGCTGTAAGCATCAGAAGTTTCTTCTCCCCACTCTCTCCCCTTTGTCAGCTTACACTGATACAGGATGCCTCTGGTCAGAATGATGCATCCTGGTGGGTCAGGTTATGGGATTAACAATGTGCAAAGCACTTTGGGAAATTACTCAAGTGTTCCCTGGGACAAAAAAAACCCAAACAAAACAACAGAAAAACACAAATGTCCTGCAAAAAACTTCCACTTGAAAGAATTTTTCTAAGTAATAATTTCTTCTCAAGGTACTGTGAGAATATTAAGTCAAAAAAGCTCAACTGGGTACTTTGCAACCTTTTTCACTCCCACCATGGAATTAAAAAAATCAACCCAAATATATCAGCACAGCAACACCACCATTCACTGCTGAAAAATTATTCTGTGTATTTACTTGCAAATAACTTCTGTTTTGAAAAACTTTTAAAAAATTCTTCCCAATACTACAGTATTTAGATTTTAGATATAATAATGCTTCTTCCAATTGCAAAAATGTTCTTAAATTACTTAAAACACAAAATTAACTCACTATTTTTTTCAACAAACACTTTGCTAACAGGCTGACTAACTCCAGTGGGAGCAGCAAACACAGGCTGCTGATCTGGGCTCTTTCTGTGCTCATCTTCAATGATGTCTTCCTCCTCCACTTCCAGCTCATTGGAGCTCACTTCGGCTGGCCGAGGTTTCCTGTTGGCACAGAACACACAGTGGGACAGAGAAAGAATAGGAGGTACTGTGTAAAATGCAAAGGCTCCTATGAACATTTAACATGCTGACTGATAAGAACCCATCAGACTATGACCTGTATAATACTACCCTGTTTATAAATTTAAGGACTAAAGTTCCCATGGAGGTAGTTGACTAAAACCACAAGACTAATTACATGTCAAGTGATTAACAATTAGAACATATTAGAATAATTGGGAAAAAAAGCTAACTTTCGTATAATTAAGATATAGAATGACAGAAGGCAGCTCCAAATTCTAATTTCTTCATGTTTGTGACTGAACTATTAGGCTCATGAACATGTATTAAGAGCTGTAATGCATCCAGGTATGCACAGAACAAAGAAGTGAAAAAAGTTAGATCTTAACTCTGGAAAGAACTGTACACAGGCTGAATGGTATTGTATGCTTCAAGATTTTACATTTTTGCCAAATGACAATGTAAAATACTCCTCAGCCACATTCACTGTTACAGTTATTCCAGATTATGAGCTACGCTATTTTTGTCTCACTTTGTTCTTTTTCTCTGTTTGCGGATCACCGTTTCTTCAGCCTCAGGGACATCCATGCCATTTCCATTCTGAAATAGGGATGCCACATTCTGCTGGGTAAAAGAGGTCTCAGAATCTGCAGATTAAAAAAAACCAATCCAACATGAAAATTCACAGCTTTCATAAAAATGGAAAAACATTCACCTAAATACATAAATAGTTCTTATATAAAAAGAGTGGCAAAAAAGTCATGATCTGAGCTTTGAATGATGTAAAGTATTACATAATTTCCAAAACTGTATATCCATTATTTTCATGGAGGTTTGTACCCTATGAAATCTGAAACCAGAAAGTGGAACTAAGCTACCACTCACCCAGAGATTACTCTCACGTATGTTAGGTAAAGAAGCACATGAAATGCTTTAAACCTAAATACACATTGTCTAGTAATATTTCTGTGTTCCCAAGTTTTATTCACTTCTTTCCCTTCTACCACTACCTCACGTACCAGTAGGTACTTTCTTCTTCTTGCGTTTCCTCTGAGGAGGGGCATCAGGAGGTTCAGGGGTCAGGGGCTCGCTGCTTTCTGACTGCCGACGAACCGCTGCTTGCACAATGCCATCTAAAAACCACAGGAAAAGACCCAGCAGCCTGAACCCAGAGCCACTGAGAAACAGGCAAAAGAAGCTGCCATTTACTAAGTTGTTGCCCAGCTGAGCAACAACTGAGGTGAAAATGCATTGACTATAGGAAATGTAAGAGTTGAGAATCAGTGATGAGAAGTAGAAATATACAAAGGTATTTCACAGTAACAGTATGATGCTCATACTGAGAGTATTTAAGTATCCAAGAAGTAGCACAATTCCCATTGGGCATACAGCAGAGGACTGCCTGAAAAGAATCCATCACTGGAAAGAGCTACACCTCTATATTTCTCTTTTCCATGTGCAAAAATTATAATGCAAGAGCCAAGAAAAAATTAATAGTTTATTACAAGGGGATCCACACAAATATGTGCTAAGGCAAAATGGCATCACATCAAAGAAAAATTTAAATGCTAAACATACAGCACAAGAATTAAAAAAGGAGCAGAAAAAATCCACTGAAGGATATTTACTCCAGTCTGACCGATTAATTATTACACTTTGTAGGAATTATATTTCCATGAAAGGTTAAAATTAATTCATATTATAGTGCAGTAGCATCATGATGAGATGAAGAAAGACAAAATTACTTCTCCATTTTACATCGCACCTGCTTTTTAATAGTGCCTTCAAGGACTGCAATTTTTATGGTAACAACTGAATCTTTGTTTCCACGTCAAAGTTAAGTTTACCCACCTTTTCTAAACCTTTATTGTGCAAAAAATGCAAAAGTAACCAGCAAAAAAAATCTTTTACAGTCAACTCTGCAGTGACAATGGAGTGATTAACTTGTGACTTTATTTGGCCAAGGACTGAAATTGAACCAGACTGCTAAATGAGTTTTATCTTAGTTCATTCAAAAATTCAATTGTTTAATGCATTCAACATAAGCAGCTTACAGTTGGAAATGCCTACTTAATGAATTATGCAAAGAAGTTAGAAAGGAAAAAATGTAAGGAATAAAAGAACAGTTTTTAGTCTTGGCAGGACCTTACCTAATGGAGTCTTCTACTTAATGAATTACGCAAAGAAGTTAGAAAGGAAAAAATGGAAGGAATAAAAGAACAGTTTTAGTCTTGGCAGGACCTTACCTAATGGAGTCTTTCCTTTGGGTTTCCTTTTCTTGGGACGACTGAGTGGAATTTCATCTGCATAACATAAAACAGAAGTATGGGTGCACATCAAGGAGAAACCTAAATTTCCTTTTTTTAGCAGCCATCCTATTGCAAGTTAAGAAATACATTCTTTTTTAAAGCTTATGACATCCTTTGTTTTTACAGGTAAGATTACAATTCACCAGTTCACACAAGGAGGAGGAGTACAGAAGATGGTAGGAAAACAGAGTAAGAAGTCCTGTGTGTGCAGCAAAGGCACAATATATACATGGATGTGTGTTAAGTGATAAACAGAAATACTCTGAATAATGCTCTGAAAAATAAACTTATTGTTTAAAGCACAGTGGCCACACTTCAGTTACCTTGATGGAAACAGCCAACAGCAAAGAGAGCAAAGAAAAACAACAGTTCTAACAATGCACAGATATCCAGTTTAAATAATCATCCTGCATTTAGGAAAAGTATAAGGCTCTATCTTGAGAAGTCCTATGCGGGCAGCATTTAGGAAAAGTATAAGGCTCTATCTTTAAAGAGAGATGGAGTGGCACCAAAAGGGAATACCAATGTTTGTAGTTCTCTTTAATAACTCACCTTGGCTTCCACTTCATATTGAAGAAGGAAAGTTGGTGACAAGCAGTGTAAAAAGATGAAAATAAAGTTAGTTTTGAATCAATTACAATTCACAACTGTGACTTTCCCACTGCTGCTTTTATGGTTAATTTCTTATCCCCTCTCCTCTTGATGAGCAGTTGTGTGTAACAGGGTTAAGGGTACGAAGCAATCAGCAAGATTCAACACTTTGTTGGCGACTACGCACAGTTTCTTGATTGGCTAGCTATGGATAAGATTAACAGCTTTAATCACCTGGCTAATTAAAACTTGTCTTACTGCCTGGTATGTAACAAACCAACAGAAGTTATGAAACATTAGAGCACATACATCACTAAAAAGACACTATCTGTCGATAATCATAAACATCACATTTACTTGCAGATACTTTGAAGGAATTCTCAAGTACCATCTCATAGAAACTATATAATTGCTTTTCTTTCACACTAAAAAAAGCCCAATTTTTTCCCTATACTATACCAAACTAATAGATACCTAAATCCCTATTAAAGAATATCTAGTCTAATTCCAGAAATTCCTGGTTTTAAGTATTTGTGATTCAAATAAACTAAAGAACATATAATAAAAGAAATAGGAAGAGAAGATTAAAATGAACAACAACAATTAAGCTATACTAGACATTAAAACTGGAATATTTGTCCAAAAGTTTTAAATTATTTATCTCTCATGAGTATTAAAACTGAGGTAATATGGCAAAATTTCCTGGCTTCTATAAAATTTTAAAATGCTTTGCATTCCTTGTAAAGCATTTTGGGACAACAAATTAGCAAAAGAAGCAATTCTACTGCTCAGATGTTTATGAAACTTATTTCTTTTAATGTTACTTCTTTTAAAATCTGCAGTACAGCATCATGATCAGTTCCACAGAATGCAATGATTTTACCTTGGCACTGGAGGAAGGGCACGAGGCGGGCACTGAAAGACAAGAGAGAGACAAAAGTCAGTTTCTGCCACTATGAAACCACCTCTCAGAAAACAGCTTCAGATCAGAACATCCAAGGTACGTTTGCACTGTATGCCTCCTAAATGGCCAGACATTCCTAATGGAGATGTCACATAAAAGCAGGATGTAAAAGATGCTGGACTAATATGCCTTTACCAGAGTTCTGATGGGCACTGCAGTAGGAACATACAGCTAACCTCTGTGTGTGAGAAACAGCTTGCATTTCAGCTTCAGTAATTTTCACTTTTCATGTAAGGTACCACTTTCATGAGAAAGCTTATTAATCATTCTATTTAAATAAATATAAAACATCATAATAAATTATACATTCAGTATAATTGTACAGTATACATCGTGAGCTGAGTATTTTCTGTAAATGAAGATGTAAATTCAGAACAATAAAAACAATAAAAGGAAATCAGCTCACTTATGAAAATACTTTTAAATATTATAAAATACAGTTTTTCCATATAATTTTGAACATATTTACCAGCAGATCAAACACCTAAAATCTAAAAGGATCTCCAGATAACAATCTGAAACTGAGCTCATACCTTTCTCTTATCTAGAAAAAAGAGTAAACTTTCATATTTTGTACTACACAATTATACTGGAAGAAATACACAAAAAATTATTTCCCATGCTCAGAAAAATCAGATACCAGAAATAAAAAGGGCTGTAAGACTGGTAAGACTCAAGGATCCACAAACTTACCACTTGTTTCTTTCCCATATCATCTGAAGTCGTTCCCTGAAAGAGGCACTGTGAACTGGTCTAGGCTCCCTCACGCTGCTCACATTGAACCTCGGCTAATTCTGAACTAAAAATAAACTTCAGGCAGCCAGGATTAGCTGGAGCTGAACCCTCCTACCCCTGGGTCAGGACCCAGAACTACTCCCATTTGAAACAAGGGCAGGTTGTTCAATGGCAGCAAATATTACTAGCACTAAAAACCCCTTCACTCTGCATGCTCGCACAGGCTCCTATAAGCAAGGGTTACATTGGTTTGTTTACCCAAAGCAAATGAGGTGCTTCATGCAAGGAAGGGTTTGTGGGATTAGACCTCAAATCTCTCACTTGGATTTTGGCCATGCTGAACACTGAGAGCAAGTGCCACTTACACAGGTAGAGAACTGCACACCCTAAGTGGCACCCAGCAAACTGGTGGGGACTGGTCACACTACATTGGTGCACCATAAGGGAAAATAATATTGGTAAAGGTCAGATCTCATTACTTTTATTGTTTCCAACATTCTTGTGGCAGTAAACAGTAAATATTTAGGATACTTAGTATTTAAAAAACCAAAACCTAAAAACCCCATAAAAACAAACAAAAGCCACAAACCTTTTATACAGCATTCCCTGCCTATGCAGTAGTAATTCTGTACTCAGTAGTACCTCTCCATGTTATTACCTTCTACAAAACAACTAGCAAGTGCATTGATTTCTGTATCATTTATTCCTTGCAACACAGGAAACCACATGCAAGCAGCCAGTCATGAATACTCATCTGTCCATCTGTGTGACAGTCCCCAGCTCTGCCATAGAGCTATCAGCTTTGGTCTATTTGCAGTTTCACAGAGTCTGAAGTAACCCACCCTAAATTTCACAGAAAGGGTGAGTCTGGGGACAGGTCCCCATGGACATTTAGTTATGGACAAAAGAGCCGCTGAGTGCTCTAAAGTACCCCGAAATCAAGAGACTCCTACAAACCAGGCAGCCGCTGCCTCGGGCAAACCTTGTGTTTGCCCACCTGAGCCAGGCCACAAGAGAGTGGGACGCACCTGGAAACTCAGGGGGGAAAATGAACTACCCAGCTCCCCGGGTGTCCATTCCAGGATGCTGAGGAGGAAAGGTTTAAATGTCCAGAATGTTTAAAAACACTGAAGCAGCCTTCACAGATTTGTTAAAGCCTTGCAGATTTTCATTTGAGAGGTTTATATGAAAAAAATACAACGAAGAAATGCTTGCTTGCTTCCGCAACAAAGACGACCAGAAACGTGAGACCCCGCAGCGGGTTACATCTCCCCTCCCGCGGGATGCGCGGGGCGGGCACCGCCGCCTCCGCAGCGGAGCGGGGATGTACGAGCCGCGCTACCAGGGTGCTCCGCTGCCGCGTCGCGCTCCAGCTCCGCCTCCCCGGAGCAGCGCTCCCAGAGAGCGCCCCGCCACATCCCTTCAGCAGCAGCGCCCAGCTGGGCCAAGCTCCCGCCGCCGGGCCCCCCGGGCTGCAGCCCCACGGAGCCGACTGCCCCCCTCCCGCTCCGGCCCCACCGCCCCCTCACCACGCCGGGGCCC